AATAAAACTGTGCCTGCATGTCTTTAATTATCGTTTATATTGCCAAACCATGAAATTACTTGTTGCGTATTCCTCCATTGATTTGAATTTAGTTTTTGTCTCAAACTGGAATTGATTTTATCTAAAATAACCTTACTTAGTTTTCCGGATTCGCTTTTTGCGGGATTAATGAATCGGCAGTTTGGATTGTTCTCGAAATTTTCTTTGTGATCTTTTAAAGATATAAATGCTTCGCGTTTTTTCATTCGTTAATTCTGTCGCCAATTCCTAACCTACTCGAAATTTCTTTCAATTCGGAGTCAATTTCATCTATAAAGTCCTCTGATCCATGTTTGTACGTTTTCGTGATGTTAGTTGTCATGTAAGAGTTCGTTGTATGTGTTCAGTGACGTTTCGTAAATGTTTCTAGTGTTGTCCGCGAAAATGAAAATATTGGGGGATGCTGAATTAATTTTCTTCAAATTGTTGGCCAAAGATGTCTGAAATTGGTCTTTTGAACGCCGAAATTTCACGTTTTCAATTAGTTTTATCAAATCGTCTTCGAAAGGTTTCAAAAGTGGAATTGAAGGAGGCGATTTGTTAGACGAAAGGCCGAAAAGGTTGCTTTGGTTTTGAGTTGTTGATCCTTTTAGGAAGAAATTAGCTTTCCATCTCATACGTTTTGTTACGCTTTCCACTTTTTCAACTAACAGCTTTATGTAAGCATCTTGTGATGGTATAGGAATATTCTTTAGTGAATAATCGAATCGAAATTGTCGCATGTTTGAAGTAGAAATAAAATGAATAACGTAGACAAGAGTGCACAACCGCTTACCGGGTGCAAATATAGCTTACGTTTTTGGTTTACGAAACACAAACAGTGCTCAATACCATATAGATGTATGGTATTGAGCACTGTTTGTGTTTCGTAAACCAAAAACTTAAGCTATATATATATATATATATATATATATATATATATATATATATATATATATATATATATATATATATATATATATATATATATATATATATATATATATATATATATATATATGGTGTTGTTGAGCACTCTGGGTGACTATTAGCGATAATGCAAAGCTCACTTCCCTTGAGGTTGTTTGAGCACACTTGCAGCTAGCGACAGGAATTGCGGCGACCACTCATTGGTCAATAAATATAGCTCTTATGATATATTACGTCATTATAAATTAATGTTGAAAACCGCTTCCTCAGCTTTCAATTACTTTGAGCCCGCTGTTTGAGCAAGCAAGTCTTATTAGTATTTTTAAAACTATATATAACAAACGACAACAGAGAAACGTCATGTATGTTTGCAAAAAATGGAATTCGAATTGCAGCATTTGCAGACATGTAATAAGCATATATTATAAAAATTAAAATAGTACATTTCTGCAAAATAGCAATACGGTATAAAATTAAATTAACTGTGTATTGACTATTGTATATAATTATGTGTATTTCTGATCACTTGGTGAAAATATAAATATTTAACAATGGGTTGGAGCTGATATGTATAGGCAGTCATATGAGGGGGGAGGCGACTCAGTTTTATCGCTTGAAGGACGATATCGAAAAAAAACTTGAATATCTTCTAAACTGTTTAGAATTCGGGTCAATAGGAGTAAAATGCTCCGTGTAATCAATGCTTTCATGTTTGAATACGGCGAGTAGAAATATTTATTTAGAATTTTTCAAAATTTTACTCTAACGCGCGTGCCACACGCTATACTTGGCCAATAAGGAGCACGCGTAAGATATCGCTTAGACTTTATAGTAATACATTATTTACTTACATTGTTCGGGAAAATTGTCTAATTTACTGAAATATTATATTGCTTGACCTCTAAAAGGTCATAAATCGCTATAATGTTGACAGTTGACTAAAACTATCGGTAGGATTAGGAATTAGGAGATGTTATTTCATTGAATCGAACAGTAGTATTTTCATCTACACTGATAGCATGCACTGAACCAAAGATATGAACCTCCAAAGTCGTTAGCGTGAATCTGGTTTAATAGAGAACGCTGCGCTGTTTCCCGCCATAATTTTATCAATATATATGTATTTAGAATCATATATGAGTAGAGTGCTCGATATTTTTTTTAAATTTTTTTTTTATTAACTTTACAATCAAATGACCGAAGGTAAGGACAACAGGACGTGAGTCCCTAATTAAGTCCCACCAAAAACGTACATTACATAATTACTTATAGGTATTACAAGATATACCGAAGTATAGAGCTAATAAAGATAAAATAAACCTGGTTTACTTCATAGGCTAAGATTTATTCACTACAAACTTGTTTCGTATGACAAGCAATGCTTGCCACACTCATCAAGTGAATTTAATTTTTTTTTAAATTCACCTGATGAGTGTGGCAAGCATTATTTGCTTGTCATACGAAACAAGTTTGTAGTGAATAAATCTTATGAAGTAAACCAGGTTTATTTTATCTTTATCTTATATCTATACATCTATATATCTATATATCTATATATCTATATATCTATATATCTATATATCTATATATCTATATATCTTTATATATATATATATATATATATATATATATATATATATATATATATATATATATATATATATATATATATATATATATATATATATA